ATATTGAATTGGAGGTTACCCTGAACTCTTTATATCCCACTACGTGTAGGTATATATAGCAACCAAAGACATATTCACGGTCGGGGTCATAATTAATGGTTTACAGAGCAAAAACATCGGCCAATGCAGGGTCTAGGTAGCTAGGTAGATAACAGTAATTTTTAGATAGCAAACAGCCTTAGCCGGAAAATCAGCACATCAAACGGAAAATTGTTAGCATAAATTGATACGCAAAATGAACTTTCCTATTTAATTAGGTCTACATATTTCATGTCAATTGAAATTCAAATGTTTATGCAGCCAATTTTAGAATTTCAAAGGCAATAAAAATTCTCACTACAGGCGCGTTCAACTTCCGCCGCGCACGCCAGCGCCAGAGGCCTCGGGGTAAACTCACAGTAAAAGCTATCAAAAACGTACAATTTTCTTCTCTTCAAAATCGGCCCAGCTCAGGATGTCGTATTGTTATGGTGAGCGCCGTAATAAATGGTGGCCTGTTCAGAAAATTCATAAACGCTATGCAAATGAATAAAAATGATATAACAAATAATCAACATATAAGATAACTTTATTGTTTCTCGAAAAAAGCGATAATAAAATACGAGTACAAGTCAAGTAGCCAATCGAAGATAGCGTAAAGAAATTGCAAAATAAATCTTTTTAAAAATATTTAGCACGAAGTTCTTTTGTTTTATTTTTAATCCAACATAACTTGCATCCTTAAACAAACGGGATTGTAAGAAAATCTCATGAACAATCGCCAAGGCAGAAAGCGTTCAAGTTTTGGCTCGTTAAATTGCGACATTATTCAGTGGCATCTCCTTACTTTATAACAGAATAAGGAGTTAATTGCAGTCGGATAAAGAAAAACATGTACATCATTTATTACAGAACGAATTAAATTTCCAAGTTTCTTAGTCTAAATGACTTCTAAATTGCAAACCAGGTGGGGCGCTCAGGAACAATCCCCCTAGGAACGCGAAATCCCATAGGACTTCTGACGAGCACAGACACGCGTCAGAAGTCCCCCCTGAGGGGAAACGCTATGCAAATGAATAAAAATAAGATAACAAATAATCAGCAAATAAGAGAACTTTATTGTTTCTCGAAATAAGCGATAATAAAATATGAGTACAAGTCAAGTTGCCAAGCGAAGATAGCGTAAAGAAATTGCAAAATAAATCTTTTAAAAAATATTCAGCACGTAGTTATTTTGTTTTATTTTTAATCGAACATATCTTGCATCCTTAAACAAACGGGATTGTAAGAAAATTTCCTGAACAATCGCCAAGGCAGAAAGCGTTCAAGCTTTTGCTGGTTAAATTGCGACATTATTCAGTTGCATCTCCTTACTTTATAACAGAATAAGGAGTTAATTGCAGTCGGATAAACAAAAACCAAGTACATCATTTGATACAGAACGAATTAAATTTCTAACCAATTATAGTTCCTTAGTGACCTCTAAATTGCAAACCAAAATATCAACAAAGTATAAGGTATCATCAAAAATTTCTTCAGTGTAAAATCAACTCATCACTTGCATGGGCATGCGATAAGAAGAAGATATCAAAGAGCAAATCCAGTAAAGATGGCGTAAAAGGAATGGCGAATATAGGATAGGTAAACGGCAACAGAAACGAAGACACGCATACAAAAGATCGCTTCACTATCATATACTGCGATCTCAGTGTTGTGGGGCTCTTGATTAGTGTAGGAATTAGTAGGGATCGAAACTCTATATGTATTAAAGATTCAAGCCAACCGCCAGAGAATTCAAACGAGGGCGGGTCTACACGATAGAGCGGGGCTATATAAAGAAAGAGCCGCTGTAGTGAGAGCAGTTTGTGCGCAGAGCCAGTCGAGTGCGGAGTCAGTCGAGCGCGGAGGATCTTGCCGCACGTCGTTTGTAGCACGTACTCACGGAACACGCTCTGGAACTCTGCCCCCTATAGAGCGAAATACTCAGGACTTATAACGAGCAAAGACGAGCGAGGCTTAGAACACGTATTGCAATTATCTCACTAGGAGGGGCCTAAATATGAACGGATGAGTTTGAACTTTCACCTCTTCTGGCTAATGATCATGATCGCCGGATAATCGCATTTACACTGGTAAAATCAAAATCGATGTGTACACGGGCATCACCTTGACTAAATGGCCAAATTAGTTCTTGAAACATTCTCAAACTATTAAAGTCAAAATAATCTGAAAAACTTGTCAAATTTCACAATTCATAACATAAAAGTTCTGGGATAAGTCAACATCACAGAAACTGTGCCAAGACATACAAACAGATGCAAAAAATGGGAACAGAATTAAAAAATGAAAATAGGAAGTCCTATAGAGCGAAAAAAAACTAAAATAACTGTTCACTTTAATATGTGAAATAAACGCTAATTAGGGAAAAAAATACTCGTGTCCGTTACAAAACGTTAAGGTTAGTTACATGCGCATTCGGTCAACAACATCTGTCCAATCAATGTTATGGACAGTTTTATGTTTTCAATCTGAATAAAATATGGAATTAAGGATCATAATTTCGATAAGGAAAGTGTAAAAGAATTTCATGAACAGTTATGACTGAAATTAAAATCGAAAACAAACCTCGATTTAATTAATAACTGAAGTGGCAAGACATAAATGCTATTTTAAGATATACGGTGCAAAAGTGAACCAAAAATGATGATAATAACACTGATTATATATTTATATTTCTGACAATCGGACAGCAAGATATGAAAAATATCGTTAAACATTCCCTGGGAGGCTTTCGTGTTGAAAACATGGTTACTCAAAACGTCGCGCTCGCTGAATAATGGAATAATTCCGGAATAATACCAAGATGATGCGTCTCGTAAAAAATATTACAATATCTTGAAAAACATCCATGTAATGCATCTCACATAGTAACATGAATAAAACATCATTTCGGACAAAGCCCAGATGATACGGCTCACACAAGAATATAATAAATCATCTGGAATAGTGCCCAAATTATATATTGCACTTGGTGATAATGCCCAAATGACGCAGCTCACACAGCAATATACATAATACATCATCAGAAATAATGCAACTTGCGCACGGGTCGCCGGCCGAAGACCACCACTGCTCTGGATGTAATGGATCATCATGATTCCTGCCTTCCGGAACATAGCCTTCAACACTTCTGGACAATCATATCGGCAGCCGAAAGCCACCAGAGAGAATTAATCAATTGAATTAGATCAATCAGCTCTCAGGAGAAACAGCCGGCGATCGAATGGCCTAGCATCGTCCGCCGTACCGCGACAAAATTCTGCACCACTCGGACGTAGCGCGCCGGAGCCTTGCAGCGAATGTGATATTCGCCACCAAGCCGTCCGTATCTAAGTAAGTGTTCACAGTGAAAACCTGTACGAATAGGCTTCTGTATTCTATGGTTTCAGGCGCCAGCCTGAGCAGGTAACCAGCACGCTGGCAACCTGCTTTCACTGTGTGCGTACCCTTACGCTATTTCACCGCTTGAGCGAAGTTTCATGTATTTTTCAGCTGCTGAAACATGTCAAAAAGACAGTCAAATTATAAATGCAGCAAACCTGATTAGAATTTTATGGCGTAAATTCTATACAGCTAGTACAATTCAATAGATATAACAATTCGAAACAATATTTATTACAACTACATAAGCGAATTATCTAAATTAAAAACACAGTATTTTTGGTATCAATGAAGGCTAGAATTTTAGATATCAAATTTTGTTAACGCATATAAAAAAATAGATAATTGACCACAACATTAGTGATAAATTGGATAAAAAACTATGTAGGTATATCAAACACTGAAGTGCGACATTACTGTCTCGCATTCACAACACGAACTGTAGTTCACTTCGGACGCCGTTTCAGGCCGTCATGTAGTTTTTGCTCTCAGTACAGTAATAACTATAAAAAACGCACAATTTTCTTCTCATAATTTCCACAGAAAGAATTTTTAATAGAAAACATTTCAGCTGGCTCATAAACACGCCGCACTTCTCACATGCTATAGTGATACAACGAAAGTAGATCAAGTATCAGAATCAAGATCCCAAGTATATCAAGTAACAGATACTATAAAATCTAGCACATGTTTACAATTCAGAAATACGGTATTCTTTTTAACGCATTTTCTCATTTATGGAAAAATGCACTATTGTGCTCGCCATGTCCGTCCGTCCGTCCGTGCCTTCACGTTTTAATATAATGAATAATTGAATAATAGCAAAATCCTGTATATATAAAATAATAAAAAATGTAAGAACAATAAAACCTTAATAAACGTAAATAAACTGTATAAAGCTAAAAGAAAAACAGAAGAATTTGCATAAACGAATAAACTACACATATCTCATTTACATTAATTGAAATTTCAGAAATAAACAAATGTTTAAAGATATTAAAAATTTTTATGTACACTTTGATTTAAGTGATGGTAAAATGATTAATTCCAAATTATATTATCCAGTCCTCTATGTCTCCAACAATAGAATTTCTCAGTGCGCAGCAAGAATCTAGTCAAGAATTTCGCCACCTATCTTTATGACTAACGTCTTAATAAGGACGTCATCCTCCTTGGTTTTCATGACCACTCGGAATTCAGGTGGTTGAGTAGCTTCTGGGACTGCTTCAGCAACCAAGTCTTCCTCTTGCAAAAGAGGTTGTGTCTCGAGGTTTTCTACAACATGGACGAAAGAATTTTCAAGTTAGTGCATAGCAAGCGTATAAGAAAGTGGCAATTAAAAACTATAAACATCTATTGAGTAAGAATAATTGAATAATAGCAAAATCCTGTATATATAAAATAATAAGAAATGTAAGAACAATAAAACCTTAATAAACGTAAATAAACTGTATAAAGCTAAAAGAAAAACAGAAGAATTAGCATATACAAATAAACTACACGTATCTCATTTACATTAATTGAAATTTCAGAAATAAACAAATGTTTAAAGATATTAAAAATTTTTATGTACACTTTGATTTAATTCCAAATCATATTATCCAGTCCTTCTCTATGTCTCCAACAATAGAATTTCTCAGTGCGCAGCAAGAATCTAGTCAACAATTTCGCCACCTATCTTTATGACTAACGTCTTAATAAGGACGTCATCCTCCTTGGTTTTCATGACCACTCGGAATCCAGGTGGTTGAGTAGCTTCTGGGACTGCTTCAGCAACCAAGTCTTCCTCTTGAAAAAGAGGTTGTGTCTCGGGGTTTCCTACAACATGGACAATAGAATTCGCAGCATTGAAATTAATTACAGCATCTTCAAAATTCCGGCTTGGTTGCATCACCGTTTCAGCTGCTTGAAAGTTTGAAAAGTTAGCGTTTGGAGCCTCCGAGGGGTTATGGAGGACCTCAGATTTGGTACGTTTGACCGCCCCCATGAGACTGTAGTATGGAGCCTCCGAGGGGTTAAGGAGGACCTCAGATTTGGTACGTTTGACCACCCCCATGCGACTGTAGTATGGAGCCTCCGAGGGGTTATGGAGGACCTCAGATTTGGTACGTTTGACCACCCCCATGCGACTGTAGTATCCATGGCGCTTCTTGCCCGTCTTGGGGTCCAGTGCGTCAAGCATTAAAAAGTGGTCGCGTTTCGGGTTCTTGCTCACTCGCAGCTTCCAACATGACGTTTTATTCCTAGAATGAAACCAAAAGATAATAATGATGCATGAAGCGTTCTGATCGGTCTAGATTAGAATAAAGAAGTTATGTTGCTCAGGTAGTAAGGGACTATGAAAATAATGACACTACGTCGAGAATCAAGCCCAAAAGCTTGATATGAATCAGGATGTCAAAACGTCAATTAGTCTCATGTAGCTGCAAATAATTGAAAATTAGAACTCTCACATCAGCAAAGTCAGGAGTTCAAAACTTACCACACCTTAGTCGAGTCTAAAAATAAATTAAGTTTCACAAAAAGGACACAGTGCGAGCTTCAGTGGTTGCACAGAAATCACAATAGTGGATGGTAGGTTCTGACAAAAAACAACCTGTTTTATTCTCAAAACATTTTTATAGGTCTCTTACCATCCCCTCTGTCCACTCCAACGGGTTCAAGGCATGAAGGGACGCCAGCGCTCTGAAGAGCCCTCCTGATCACATCGTTCAGAGCCGAGTGTCTTGGATGTCGCCCAACGTTGTACTTACAAGAAAGGCCATGCAGCCCTCGTGCATCCATCCGCTTTCCGCACCGCATTTATTTTATAAATTACCTTTGAAATGACATTAGCCACCCAAATAATAAGAAGCTTTAAAATCTTGACAAAATAGTGCTCCTGTAAGGTGAGATTGGCTGTGTTAGACGATAATTATTTTGGCTGTGATAGCATAATCTGTGAAAAAATGTCTAAATATTGCAAAAAATGCTAGAATCTTATATTCAGCTCTCACAGAAACTGATGCTCCATGATCTTATGTGAGATCAGGGTTATCATTTGTTTTTGGACAGAATCTTTGCAAAGCAACAAAAAAACGCTACAATTTAAGAGCTAATGTTTACCCAGCAGCGTGTGCAGATAGTGGAAGAGCAACAGAAATGTTCTTCACAAGCAAGCAAGCTTGATCATCTATGGAAAGATCGGGTTCCAAAGGCCGGATCCCTTGTGAATCAAGTCACGAGAAGTTCAAGAATCGGCAACAGGCCATGGGCCTATTTCTTCAACGCCGACACTTCTATTCTATTCTATAAGCATAACAAATGCAAGCAATTGCTCACTCCAAGTCATCGAGGTGCTGGAACATGATGATCCGCTCAGGGTGTTTTGGCGTACAAGAGTTGAGGCAATGCATGATGAAGCTGAACTTGACAATGCCATCAGTTTCAGAAACAATGTTCAGGACCCGTTCATAAGGTCCTGAATGGTAGTCAGGAGCTGGGATGATCTCCACATTTTTGACAGCTTTTACATCAAGTACTATAGAATGTTTTGCACAATGCAAGCTTTCTTCCTCAACGCCTTCATCAGCATATCTGTAATAAGAGATAGAAAATAAAAGCCCCAAATGCAAATAAAAATGAAAACCAATTTTTGCAGAAGTACGGTAAATAGATACTTAAAACTTTTTAAAACCCATTACCTTGATTCTATATCATTAAATTTGACTGGCAATACTGAAGGAGTGAAATCTCATCATTTACAAATCTTATAAAACGACCATCTTTTCCTTATTTATAGAAATTCCGAGTTAATATTCAACATAAAAAAATTGCAAAAGCAGGATTAATTCAGGCACCAAAATACATGAGCTCAGCAACTTCACATCAGTTGGGGCCTAGTCCAGATGTATATATGTGTATTTTTAAATCAATGTAATAACCCGGAATAAAAAAAAAAGAATGGTAGTCATGCAAACAAAGTCTAACTAGAATTTTTTCATGTCTGTAAATTTCCCAGAACTTAAGTGAAATCTTCAGTATTCAAAATCCAACAAATGATACCATAGTAGGTAGTTCTCATTGTATCTAAAAAGGTTTGATACCAAAAAGAATTATACAATCAAAATTCAGTAAGCAAATCAAAATTTAGATGTTAAAATATATAGATATTCAACACCTAGAAAAATAGAGCCATATGGCACAGGCAAAATTTGTTTATTTGTACCACTTCATGTCTCACTTTAAGGTGATGCTAATCTTCTCTCCAGCCTTACCACCCGTCAGCTCTACAGGAATCCATGTCATAGGTTCGGTGTTGATTATTTGCATGTCTTCCTGAAAACAGACAAGCATATTTTTTAATGTTTTCTATCTAAAAATCTAGCTGCAATTTCAATAATTCACTATAACGAAAAGATCATAAAAAACTTTCCTGAAAAAGAAATTAATATTCTATCGACAACCATCATATTTTTTGAATAATTAAATCATAGTTTAGATTAATTCTTTTCATTTCAAGTTGCCCAGTGCACAATTCTATCTATGACATTCTCTGAACAATTTTGTGATGACCGACGATGCATGAATTTTTAGTTATAGTTAAGTGAAATTTTTTTGACTGAGCAATTGAATATAATAAAAATATTTTTTGTTTATTGAATTTTTTGTTAGCTGGAGCTCTTGCCAACCAAGGTTTCACTGTAAATGCATTTTTAGGGTTGTCACTTATTAACCCGGTGCACGGAAATGGTTGCTTTTTTTTAATGAGCTACACAATTCTATCAATCACGTTTTTAAGCCAACACCTGTGTGCAACTTTTATGCAAGTAAAAATTTTTTAATACAGCAAATATTTTTCTTATACAGACCTTAACAGGGGTACTTTTCCAAAATCTCATTTTCACACTTTTTTCAGGGATTTTCTAGAGATAGTAAATGTATGATTTCTTAACTTGTGTCTTGCTTTACTACATAGATAGGAAAAATGTTGAACTTTACGCCACTATTTTTAGTTTTGCAATATTTTAATTAGTTTAGCTGCTACACCATTTTAACAAAATGTTGGAGGACTGTCCCTTATTACCCTGCCCAGCCTTTATTAGCCCGTTTGACAGTATGCAAATATACATGTGCTTTAGATATACGTAGATATAGCTCTTAAAACCAAAAGTTCAGGTTTCACAGAACACAGCACAGAAGAGCTTATGGCAGCTTTTCCAATCTTTAAATCAATGCCCACGTCAAATTTGATTTGAAAAAATAAAAATAAGACCAAAAATGAATACAATAGCTTGACCCAATTCAATAAATAAAAAAATTTTCTCAAACAAGTTTTCAGATGCATTCACAAGAAGTCTACATAGTGAAAGTTATTTGAACATTTTTTAACTAGGATGTTTTGCTGTTTAACTTAGCCATTATTAAATGGAACCTGGGATCCAAAATATTTTTAAATTTTGACCCAGTGATATTCATAATTTATCTGAAGACTTACTAAGGGTTTATATAATTGATTCACAAGAGGTTAGGTAAGAAAATAAAAAAAAATCAAGCAGAAAAGGCTTGGAGGCAGGTACTTTAAAAGTCACAGGCAAATAAAATACGCCTGTAGTCCATTTCATGCCAATAACATACAAATAAAATATGATATGTATAGACTGGAGTGTAGGTGAATTTTAATGAAATGACATATGAGATAAATCTCAAGACTCACCACTTTGCCCATAGAATTCAATACAATGAAATAAAATTCTTCATGTCAATCATATACGTTTCATTTAGCATACAATATGGAATATGATAATAAGCACCAGGATTAAATGTATTAATAGGTGAATGTAAGAAACTAGAAAATGTACATACATTTTATGAAATAGATAATCCAGTAAAGCTTATCCTAGTAGATAGATATATATCTACCTTAGTCTTTCAGAGTAGTTCACTAGTTATAGATTCTAAATGAAAGATTTCAAAGAACTTACTTGCAAATAGTAATGCTTGCCCCGAGTTTTGCTGGATGGGAGAACAGAAAAAATGCTCCCATTTGAATTATTTTCATCCGAGTTCAAAACTAACTTGATGGGGATGGTTGTTTCACATGAATTTTTGTCAACCAAATCTTCATACAATGCATTTTTCTTATTGAACTCATTGCCATTAAGACAATCAGAAGATTCATTTGAATTATTTTCATCTGAGTTCAAAACTAACTTGACGGGGATGGTTGTTTCACATGAATTTCTGTTAACCAAATCTTCATACAATGCACTTTTTTTATCGAACTCATTGCCATTAAGACAATCAGAAGAATCATTTGAGTTATTTTCCAGCAGTGCTTCTTCAATATAAGGATCAACTGATGGAAATTCAGAACTCCAGATGGTTACTTTGTTCTTCTTATACATTGTGATCCACTGAAACAAAGTGAGTAAAAAAAAGGTTATACTGCAATATGATAGAATACAAAATTACATTCATAAAGCATTGCAATTAAGAAGCCATAGAAGTTTTGATGAATATAGGTTATGTTGTCAATAGTTGAACAGTTACTGAAATATTTGTTTAGATTTAAAGAGCCTGTTCAGTAGGTAGCTATGATCAATTTATGCTATCAGCCTTTCTTTTGTGACACTATTAAATTTAACCTATAGCATTGGCAGTGCAGTAAGATTTTTCTTTCAAAATTAAAAAAAAATATGGAAATATCAGCAGGTGTCATTAGTGAGTAATGTTATCTCCTAGGCTGGGTTGAATCAAAAGCATTAAAGGGTTATGGAATAATGGTTCTAAAAATTTTGGCAATTAAATCCTTTATTTTTTAGGCTGAGTGCTTAATGAGTTAGTAACATAAACATAGAGACCTTACTGGAAAATTGGGCAGTAGCCACCTGTGAATTAAAAAAAAACAAATTTGGCCAAATTAACCAGTTTGTATGTTTTTTTGGTTACAATTTTTCAGTAAAAAATTAGAAAAACAGCTTACTTTTACAGACAATTTTAAAAAATATCCTGTAAAGCGATTGTTTTGAGCCACAATCTTAATAAAATTCTGCCTAATATTCAAAACTGTCAGAGCATGTTGATGTGAGACAAGTGGTACATTGTAGACTCCTGCGTTTGGTATTTTTTTTAATCCGAGACGAGACGAGACAACAGGCTCTGTCCCGGTTCGCAAAAAAAACCGGGACAATTTTCAGCCTTCTGTTGGAATTCCGGGACGATACCGAGACGAGACGTCCCGGTTAAAATAGGTACCTTAAAATTTCCCGGAATTTACAGCCATTTCAACGAGACATAACGAGGCTAATCAATTATTGATGTGGTGTAAACTTTGGCTTACCGTCATACATTTATACAGAGCTGGGCAGCGCTACTTTGAAATGCAGCGGCCGCTACCGCTACATGCTCTAAATGTAGCGGGCGCTACCGCTATCGCTAAAAGAGCACAGACCAGGTTGAAACAATCTTGACCTTACTGTGTCAACTGAAAAAATGCAGGGAATTAAGAAACTATTATAAATATGCACTCCTTGAGAATCTGAGACTGATTGGATTAATTTTACATCAAACAATGCATGCTAAAGCAAAGGTAAAGGAATTACTGAAGATAAACTTAACCAATCAAGCAAGGTACGAAATAAAAATTTAACTGAAAAAAATCTTGAAAAGCAAGTTAAGTAAACCAAAGGACCAAAAGGGTTTGTACTGAACACATTTAAAGGAATGCAATGACAGACAATCAACTATAGCAACTAGTTCAAGTAGAAATAATGAGCAAGTGCATTATTAACAATAGTGTGAGACTGATGGGATTAATGTTACAGCAAACAATGCATGCTAAAGGGAAGGTAAAGGACTTATGAAGATACATTATTGACCATAGTGAATCAAATAATCATTCAGTAAATCAAAAACCAATTCCTTATGTACAGAAAACACAAGTAACTCAATATGAGAACAAAGAACATCTACACAAGGGTGAAAAACTTGCTAAGCTACATGGCCAAGCACCAGTGGTAAGTACTGTCAGGTATGGTCTGTCACACAACCAAGGCCCAAGTGTCATATTCATTGGGCTCAGTTATGTAGTTAATAAATTTCTGTAACAGAGACAAACAGAAAAGAACACTGGCATTGAGTTTTTGAGGTAAGTAAAAAGACAAGGCCAAAGGGAAAGGTAACATAGGTAAATAAGAACAGAAAGGGAGTGCTACACAGACCACAAGAGCCTCCCTGCAACAACATGTGAAAGCTAACTATGAGACTAATAATAATGATAGTAATGAGAGTTATGAGACTGATATTATTTTAGTAGTTACAGCTCGATTTCAAGCTATTTACACTTTACAGGAGCGTATGAAATATTAGTATGATACCGCAAAATGGGGTAACTTAGACTCCCGGGGTAACTTAGACCACTTTTATTTTTTTTAACAAAAACCCCAAATCTCAAAAACTATTTGACATAGAAAAATTTTGTCAATGGGCATTAAAGGCCTAATACTGAGGCTATGTAACACAATAGAAAGATAAAAAATTATGCATATCTAATAGGTTAAAAAATGAAAAATGTACCATTCAGAGGCAGGGCCCCCCATTTGCAAACTATGACACTTTCCTCAAATTTGTCATTCGCATATGTAACTAGAAGAGTTTTACTACCGTGCACCAAAACCTGGAGTTATTTTACCAAAAAACATAATTGATTTTACCACCCAGTCTAAGATACCTCAAGGGCTCAAGAGCTGGGGTAACTAAGTCCACTTTTTTTGAAATTACATAAAAACTATGAGAGGCAGGAGCCAGCAATTTATGGTGAGTGAACCTAGAGTATAGACATATATATTGCATGTTTCAATTTAAGTTTGATTTAGCTAGTAAAAAAATGGCATTTAAAAAAAAGTAGTCTAAGTTATCCCATTTTACGGTACCAGACTAACCAGAGCCTCAACAGAAAAAAATTAATAGACTAGTAATTACTAATCTGGACTGAAATGTTGTGGCTCTCCGCTCTCATCAGTTGATTCAGTTAGGTACATAGTGACAAACCAGAGCCTTTTTTAGAATCAGTTCATTTTTAATTTCCTCATTTACTCAAGATTTAAACCAATTTCTTATGTATGATAAGTTAGGTATCACTCTGACTCTAATGTGACAGATTTTCAATACATTTGGAAAACATTCAACGGAGTACAGAGTGGAAAAGGATAATTTTTATAACTATTATCAAGGTTAGGTACAATTTTTTTTCATGACTGGTACAACAATGGATTCATAGCTAGATACATGAATTTACAGTAGCTACAGAATTTTTTGCAAAGGATGCTAAATATTAAAATATAAATCAATTCTAAATAATATGATAGCACAATATTTGGACTGAGACACTGAACAATATAAATTAATTTGCTGAGCCAATGACAAAATTGAGCCTTGACGACGGTCACCCATGTAAAAATTCCTCCTTAGCCGGTACCCGGTAGCCCATTATTGGGCCATTAACCTTGCCAAGTTGCCTTATCAAGAACTTTTCTTAACTTGGTGTGCTTGATGGCTTACGACTTACGACATGGACCAATGGAGAGGATGCCCCTTGATGCTTTCTGGCTCTGAGCCGTGAGCCCCGGCCCCCTTCACTGTTCTTGTTCCAGTTCCCAGACCTGGCAGACCAAGTTGTTCCAAACTTCCAAGTACGAAGCTTGAAGGTGAGGAAGTAGCTGCACAAGCACGATGACCACTTCTTACACCTGGACTCAGGCCGAAATTGATAGAAAAGTTGCAGTGATTCTTGGAGGATTTACCAGGTGGGCTTACGGTTTCAGATCAGAGCTCAAACCAATGGTGCTCATGCCNAGCTTCTTCAAACTATCGCCAGTCATGAAAAGATCCGGTCAAATGACACGAGTTTAGATCTATGAACAAGGCACGAAATGGAAAAGAATCGGCGACAGGCCACATCAGGCCTACACTTCAGCGCCGACATCACTATGTTGTGTTATGTTATAAACACACACATCTTAGGCATGCAAGTCGATAAACCCAGAGACAAATGCCACTTTTCTATTTAATATTTCATCAGGAACACACGGCAAGCCCGTAATGTGGCCCTAGCTAGCATGCGGATCGTGGAATCCTGCTCTGCAACTACGCTTTGTGGGCACCCCTCACTCAGGGAAATGTGTTCTAAATAGTCCGAATAGTGACACACTTCTTGAGTGTAGCCCGGATACACTACTTAAATTGGACAATGTATCGCTCATTTATCTGAATTCCACTCAGTTATTCCACTTGTACACACTAAAAGAAATGTACACCGTACATGGCTTATCAACAGGACGATAGGGTACGTACACAGTGATAGCAGGTTTGCCCGCGCGGGCAACCTGCCACAAGAATGAACATAGGATAATAATGTAAGTGTTCACAGTGAAAACCTGTACAAATAGGCTTCTGTATTCTATGGTTTCAGGCGCCAGCCTGAGCAGGTAACCAGCACGCTGGCAACCTGCTTTCACTGTGTGCGTACCCATATCATGTGCTACGTGTGCATGATACGTCCTCAGCTATGGGTGAGAAAGTGCGTTACAGTTTGGATAATATGAACCATTCATTTCTCTGCAGGATGTCGCTGAGGAAGCGTTGTCGGCCATGATGGTCTATAGCATTAGAAGAATTATTTGTGACGGGCGCACCCATACTTCAGTTCTTATGCTTTGTTTGATCATTCATAATTCCGAACGCAATCTGAAGTGGCACGCGGGTATGCTATTCTCATTACATTTAGAATAAGAAGTGTAGCCTCGAGAATTTATGTTCATGGTTGACTGCCTTGACTAAGGATTTTTTTAGAGACAGTAAACTCTGGTTTGTAAACATTTCTTTTAGACCACCTGAGAGTTAACTAATTTTTAATAGGATTAGAAGCCACGATGTTGGTGATGCGTGACGAGGGTGATGAGAACTGCCTGGGGCTCGAATGACAGACCACATAAAACTGAAAGTATTTCACTTTTTAGCCATTGTGACTGCGACTGTGCTCACGGATTTCAGGTGGAGCAATACCTTCAAATATCCAGGCTTAGGATCCAGCTCACCGCTTCTAAAGAGTAAGTCAACCGAAAATGCAAGGGACAAAATGTATACAGACTCCATGAAATCCAATCAATACAACATTTATCATTATTCAAGTCTTTGTATATCAGCCAACCCATTTGTCTGGCCCCATATTGCACCTCGGCGACGAAAAGATTTTCGATGCGATTAAAAATTGTCAATGGCTCTTAAATTTTCTGCCTTTGATTGTATGTAAAACATTTCTCTTCCTTGTTTGAGTTATTGCTCTCAGAGTTCTCTCATACCTCCCAGGACACGAAGAGTAAGTAAATGCAGAAGATGTGGACAGAAGGCAGTAAAATGTGACAGGTCAAACGTGGATGTCATACATGTATGCATAATAATAATAATAATAATAATAGCGGTTTCAGCGTTTATTAGGCCGTAGGCCTGTCGCCGATTCTTAACATCGCAGAACATTCACAGCATTTTGAGGTTTCGAACTCACAACTCACTGCTACAATTCTGCTGTGCTTAACCGCACGGCCCCCATGCCGATTCTGACCAGAAACTGGCGCACAGAGCTGGGATCGAACCCGCGCC